GGAAAGAAACTCGAGCCATATCAACTCTTACAACATTCATAATGAAATTAGCTAGGAACAAGTTCATAAACATGAAATTCTTCTTTGGTCAAAATAGATTGTTTAGACAATTTTTCAACAAGTTGATTAGTCTTTCTATAAATACGGTTCCAAGGCACGTGGGCCGTGAGCCAAGTTGGAGTGCAGTAGTGAACTTCATGGATTGTTCTAATAATGTTGTAATAAGGGTGTTGCCAAAAAACCAACCATTTGACAACAATTTCATAGCCAATTTATAATTTGAATCTAACGCTTATATTTTAATCCAAACCTCTTGCCAATTTGAGACTGAATAAGATCACTTTCAACTCAGCTTCAATAACTGAACTTCCACCTAAATTTGTATGTGGTTTAGGGTATAGGGTTGCACTAAAACCACATACAAATTTGAGCAGGAAATATCTAACCTTTTTTTTTATAGCTCAAATGGTAATATCCTATGTGGTGGTTTGATGACTACTTAGGATGTAAAATAAAGTTTTAGAGTAATATTTTATATGTGAAAAAGAGATTTTTTTTTTACTCCAAACTTATATTAGGGTAAGGTACCCCATGTAAAGTTAGAATTAACACCAATCTCTTTGAAGATTTTAAGAGTGTGTGCAATATTGGTTAAATGATCATATTATATGTGCAGTTAAAAGAAGAAATTGAAAAACGAAACAGACTTTTTCTTACATGGGAATATTGGGCCTTAAATAAACAAAATCAATAAATGAACCAAAAGTCAGACCAATAATGTGATTTCCCTTTTACAAACTTAATGCTAGTTAAGGGTGTTATGGGCCATTGAGTTGTTCAAAAAACCATTTGGTGACCCACCACCACGTTACATGTTTGGAAGGATGGTCATGTAAAAAAATATTAGCATAAGCCCATTGCACAGCCCATGCACCACTTGCAGCAGCTATTTGGTGGCCCACTACTATATTTTGTTCGTCAATTTTTTATATAACATTTCATGTAATGATATATTTACCTCTTTATATTAATAATTCACTTTTATTATACTTTTCTTCTATTCAAACTATCTTAATATTTTTTTATTTTCTAATTTTCCAACTTTACTATCTTTCTTTGTTTTCAATATTTTAATTTTTTTTAAGCATTCATCCCTTTCATACGCATATTTAAGAAAAAGTTTGTTTATATTTCCTCTATACAATAATTTATATTTTATATTAAATTTTAACAATCCAACTGTTAAATTAAAAAATTTTAATGTATAAATCAAATCTACAAGGTTTCAAAAAATTTGAAAATTATTTAATTTTTCATTAATTCAAATTGATAAATAATCATAAAAGTATTTTATATATTGATTTGAATTAATGAAATCAAGTATCAAATAATTTTAAAATTTTTTAAGACTTTGCAAACTTGATCTAAGCATTAAGAAATTTTAATTCAACGACTGGATTATTAAAATTTGATGTAAAACATAGGTTATTGAGTGAAGTAAATGTATATAGACTTACTCTTAAAGTAAATGAATCCCTTCTTAGGAGCAAGTATAGATGTGGAATGAAAGTTATTCCCTCTTTAAATGCTAAAGCAATTGATTCTCATCTTTGGAAAGGGATTGTAGCGATGTGGGATCAAGTGATCAAAAATATCTGTTGGCAACTTAGCAATGGCATATCAATTTGTTTATGGTAAGATTATTGGGTCTCGCCTCATACTAGATTGATTGACGTGGCATATGATAATTTATTAGCTCTGGATACTAATGTTAGAGTATGTCAACTTGTTACTATTGAGGGGTTGTGAGATGTTGGTATTTTGTAGAATGTTCTTCCTATGGAGGTTTGTAGGAGGGTTCGCCTTCTTCCTATTCCTAAGGCTGAGAATGGTGAAGATGTTCCTTTATGGAAAAACTCCTTAGATAGGTATTTCTCAATTAAGTCAGCTTATTCATCCCTTATTGACGTGCGTGTTGACTCTACTTTTATTTCCCCTACTATTTGGAAGAGGCTTTGGAGGTGGAGATGCCCTCATACTGTAAAGTTTTTTATTTGGATGATCCTTTAGAAAGGTTTGAAAACCAACCTTAGGAGGGCTCAGTGTGGATTGACAGAGGACAACTTTTGCCCGATCTATGCTAATCATGTAGAAAAAGATTCAAATATCTTGAGAGATTGCCATCTAGTTCAACCAATCTAGTGATGTATTAGGGGTGAATTTTCTAGAAATATGGATCAATTCTTTGTTACAAACTTTATGGAGTGGATCATTGCTAACTCGTGCTTTAGTTCCAATTGGTGGAATTTTATGTTTGGGATTGTCTTATGGATCATTTAGTAGCATAGAAATGCTCTGGTTGTCTCTAATAAAAAATTGGAGTCAAGCCCAAGTTATATATCAATCAAAACTCAAAGCTTTGGGTGTCATTCAAAATTGGAAATCTGATATGCTTCTAGGACCTTAGTTAACTGATTACTCTCCTGTGTGGGTTCCTCCTCCCTAAGGTTGGGTAAAGTATAATGTGGATAGGTTTATTCATTGCAGTGGTCGATTTGTTGGGTGTAGAGGTTTGGCCTCATGTTAGATCATCCCTCCTATAATACACTTCGTGTTGGTCTTAATACTTATCAATCGTGTGTGGCTAGTCAAAATTAAACATGTTATGTAGAAGGCTAACATAGTTGCAAATTGCTTGGCTAGGCATTCTCATGATTATTTTCCTATTAATTATGTTTCTTTCTTCCATTCCCCCTAATTTTGGTCTTTAGCCTCTTTGGTTTGACAATGTAACTCGCCTGTAGTTCACTTTCTTCCTCCATCTTTGGTGATATTGCTTACAAAAAAAAAATTCAATAACTTTCAATTAAATGTTAATTTTGTCGATCCAATTGTTAAATTATAATTTCATATCATCTTGCATGTATATATCAAATTTTGTTAAAATTGAATAACAATTTGAAGGTAATTAAAATATTCATATTTTAATATATTTTGAAATATATATATATATATATATATATATATATATATATATATCAGTCAAATATGTTATATAAGGATGAGATATTAAACAATCTTGAATTAATATAAAATTTTGTATATATGATCTATGAGTAAAGAAATTTCAATCTAATAGTTGATGAGAAAAATTTATATTTAATTAAAAGTTATTGAACGATATAATAATTGGTAAAAATTACATCGGTGTAATAAGATGATTGAAACAATATTGGTGTAATTGTTACCAACTATTACACCTATTAATGACTTTCAATTCAGTGAAGCTTTCTCAAAATTTATCAATATTTCAATGTATTACTTTGAACACTTATATCAAATTTTATTAAAATTAAACAATAATTAAAAGATAATCAAACTATTTATATTTTAATATATTTTTAAAAGTATATATTAAGTTAATTTAGATTTATACAAATTTGAATGAAGCATATAATAATTTCTAATTAATACAAAATATTATATATATAATTTAAATAAAAAATAAATTTCAATCAAATAGTAAAAATTAAAAAATATCATTAAATTTAAAATTATTAAACGATATAATAATTATAAAAGTTATATTGTAATTTGTTCCATCCTAGTATTTTTGTTCAATAAATTTAATAATAAAACAAAATAGTCACAAAATAAAGAAAATATAATAAAGAATAAAATACAACAAATTGCTTTATTATGTAATCCACGCACTAACATATTCTCAAATGCAAAAACTGAATTTTATTCTTTTTCACAATACTATTATGTTATAACGTAGTTTCTTAAAAACATTCCAAATCTCGTGCATGAAAATACTTGTTACGGAAAATACTAATTATAAACATTCAATTATGCAGAATTTTTATTTTTATTTATCTTGACATTGTTTTTATTTATTTATTATTATTATTTTTGACTTTTTTTTAAATTTAAATGTATGAAAAAAAATCTTAAACTCTTATTATATGTAAAAAATTCAAGAAATTTTACAAGATCTAGTCTAACAGAATCTATTAAAATCTGACCTAAAAATCTTGCAAAATTCATTAAAATTCTGATTTAAAATCTTGCTGAATCTTACAAAATCTTAAAAATCATGAAAATCCCATCGAGTCTTTTTTTATAACTAAAAAAAAATTCTTTAAATTTCTAATCTAATACACTCCATTAATAAATATATCTTTTTTAGAAAGAAATAAAAAAAAAAGTATTTTTTTTTTCTTTTTTAATTTTGTTTGCTTGGTAAAGAAGTAGAGGCAAGGGTTTTAGGAGGTTTTAAGCATCTATTCCTCGTGTTCCGACGCAGCCACCAACCATCTTTGAATCTTCACCCCGACCCAATGTCCACGCCTCCGAACGAAGCTCCGAAGGAGCAATCCGACCCCAAGCCAGAAGACCCTCCTGCGGATCAGCCAGGTTGGGAGCCTCCCGAAGCAGAGGAGCAGGAGGAGGAGGAAGAAGGAGAGTGCGGGTTTTGCCTCTTCATGAAAGGGGGTGGCTGCAAAGACGCGTTTGTCGATTGGGAAAAGTGCGTTCAAGAAGCCGAAACCAACAACCAGGATCTCCTCGAAAAGTGCTCCCAGGTCACCGCCGCGCTTAAGCGCTGTATGGACGCCCATTCCGATTACTACGAACCCATTCTCCGCGCCGAGAAGCTCGCCGAGGAACAAGCCATCATTGAATTGGAGAAGGAAAAGCAAAACTCGCAGCCAAACGAGGCCCAACCCCAACCCCAACCCCAACCTCAACCTCAACCTCAACCTCAACATGCTTCTAGTCAAGACCAAAAGTGAGACCCTTTCAATTTCATACTTGTAACGTCAACGCTAATAGATTACAGTTACTTTTCACCCTCGCTCTCTCATTTTTTTTGTCACAATAATTCGAATGACGAATATTTTCTTACTGGGAATTGGATTCCCAGCCCTAAATATGTTCGATTAATGATTTTAGTTCTGGTTTCTATTTTTCTCTCTAGTTGCTGACTTATTTGATTATATGCTTGTCTAACCCTAGGATACCAAATATGTGACATTGGGTTTTCTGCTTCATGGCTGTGTTATAACTTTATCGGGTGTGATTGGGAATCAGTTGAGTTAAACTTAATTGGGGTTGAAAAATAAAAGCTACACTCACTAGCTTATGATTTTTTTTTGCATTGGAATGTGTATTCTTCTGTTGAATGTGGTAGTTAAACGTATATATAATGATGGGGATGTGTTTCTGTTGATTTTGGAATTTAAGTGCAAGAACAAGTGGGGAATGAGATATGAGAATTAGCTACACTTTCAAATTCTCAGTTAAGGGTTTGTTTGGATGATATTTTTTTGACAAGTAGTTATAAGAGAAGGAAATAAAGAGGTAAAATGAATTAAGTTTCTTTCACTAGTTTTAAGTAGCTTGTGTATCTTAGTATGGTGTTAAATTACATTTGTTGCATTCTCGTCATAATCCGTGATATTCAGGAAGTTATGGACTTACGGGTAAATGTGGTTGGAATTGAAGCTGCAATGTTGATGTGGTTAAACCAAAGGCCTTGAAGTTGTGACCTAAATTGTGGTCGTGGTGATGAACCGTTTTTTAATACTTTGTATGTTAGCTAGCTTTTTGAAGAGTAAGGGGAGGGAGCTTTTGACATTGCTTTTAAAACAGTTGATATGGATTAATTAATTTTTAGAAATCCATCTATCTAAACTCATCCATCTTCTTAAAAAAGTAAAAGTGTGAGTATAAGTTGATTTTAACAGAAAAAAGTTTGATTCATTTTACTTATTTTTCTATTCAGCTGCTGTTTTATGCAGATTTTGCAAGTTGAAATATGCATACCGCTTGATGGCAGCATTTGCATTTTAACTTTGTATTCAGTTATATTTCCTATTCTGTATCTAATAAATAAAGAGAAATGGTAGCAATATACTCTCTTAACATTCTTTTAAACACACTCTACTTAGTTGAATCTTATTGGAAAACTCAATTCGGTGGGTCCTACACCCTATTTTGCGATTCACTCTCTCTCCTTTGATTTTGTGGTTTTTAATAAATTTTAACCAATAAAAATCTGTGTTAAGAGGAGTGTGTAGCAAGCTAGCACTTCTCATAAAGAAAAAGGTTGACTTTGATTAAATAATTGTGAAGGGCCTTTTTGTTTTACCCCAAAATCATGTTAAGGGCTAAATGCCATGGTTTGCACTGTGCTGCTGCAAAATTTGAGTTTCTGAAATCAATTTTGTTAGTAGAATTGATCTGAAGGAATGTAAATCGTTTTAGCCATATTTTGGTATATTTCCTAAAACATGCCTATATTGGGAGGGAATTTGAGGATTAAAACATAACTTTTGATGCACTGACCTTAGAAGTGGATGAACTACGTGTTTGGTAACACATGCTAACAGTTGAACCATGTTCAGCAGTCAGCAGAAGTTACAAAGTAATTTCTGCATTTTATGCTAATAATTGATCCATGTTCGGCCGAAGCTAGAAAGAGTAATTTCTGCATTGTTTTCAAATTTGATGTGAAAAAAATAATACCGAGACTTGAGTTAGGGATGTGTATCCAAAACAAGCACGAACTATGAAGTGGATGTTTGAATTACTGATTTTCTTTAGTGACAGTTTGCCATACTTCTGTTTATCTTATCTGTAATGCCAAAACTTTATTTGAAGTGCGGACATGGTTAGAAGCTCCTTTTCTTTCTTTTCATATGTAATTGGGTTAAAAAAATTTATTGTCATCACAACCTCACTTTATCAGTGTTTCTCAAGACTTGCAATGAGCTCGATCGATACAAAAATTTACATCTTATTCATTTGTAATAAATTTCCTCATTTGTACAGACATTAACAAAATGAGCACAGGTGTAAACATCATCTCACCCTCGCAATATTTTTGTCACCCGTGACATGCAACTATATTACTTTATACAAAAAGGAAGATTTATTCTTGAATTCTCAGCATATGAAGGAAAGAAGAAACAAGGTGTTTTAGAAAAAGGACGCCAAACAATAAATCCATGTTCTAACTATATGTTGCTTTAGCAAGCCTAATATCACATTACTCATCTTTATCATCATCTTCATCGTAATTGAAGGGTAGAGGCACAGACTTGAATGCACGATACTTGCCAACATTGTTCAAGTGCTCATTTTCCAGTCTGAAAGTTAGAAATGTAGCAATTATCAGATAAATCAAACGAAATTTGTATGTAAGGATTGTTTCTCTGAATGATGCATGGCATGCTAATTTGTGATACGTAAGGCAAAGAAAATTGATTATAAAGAGTTGTAAACTATGGTATATCCAACTGCAATTGCCACTAGGTTAGTGTGATTTTGGGATTCACTGCTATATCATTTTATTCAAATCCTGATTAATTTCTAATTTACCTGAAGAAATTCCATATGCCACGACGAATGATCTCTAGACTTGCAACAATGCTGGTCATGGCTTGTTTATGCAAGAAGGTGAAGTTAAATTTCAAGACTGTCTGCAACCAGGCAAATCTCAGCAAGACATTAAGGACCTGCATGGGTCCAATCTGTCAGCAATTTTCCAATTTTAAAAACAGAGAAACAAAATATCAATCATAATTGTAAAACATCTTTGAAAATTTCAACTACATTTGTTTCCTCCTTGCCCAGTGGGGTTAACTGACTACATACCATGGCTATAAAATAAACAATTTTATGAGGGACTACGAGTTTGTCTCTCAACCAGCGATTCTTGGAATGCTTTTGCAAAAGGCCCCAGTCAATTACAAGGTCCCAATATGTAGAAGCAACTGCTGCAGATATTGAGAAAACCCATGCCAGCACTTTCCATACCATTGCATTGTTAAGACTATAGGCTGTCCTTAGGCAAACAGCAATAATCGTGAGGAAATATTTCAACCCGTTATATCCTTGCATTGGATCTTTCTCTTCGAACAGGCGCCTAAGACACTGCAACATGTTCAAGAACATTTTATTTAAAACTACAAATTTTATTCAAAAACAGCTCGACTCAAGTATTTGAGATGCATAAATACAGATAACAAACTAAAGATTCTCTTCTAGGACACAGTTATATTCCATGCAAATCAAACACCGAATATAAACATCTCTCTTAGGAGAAATTTAAACCTTGATTTGTCATGTTCTGAGAGACTAACCCTTTTGTTAAATTAACCTCCCGGTTGTTGATCCTCTTAATTATATAATGAAGAAAGTCAAATATAATTTTGTGGTTTCTTAATATTAATCTTTTCCACTTATACTTCTGTTCAGGAGTATATTACATTATTTGTTACTCACTAGTTACTTGCAAAAAAATTAAACAAACGGGTATTACTGCCCTGTTCATTTCCGTTTTTACCTCCAAGAAGCAAGTTTCTAAAAGTTGATTAGAGTAGAACAAATTTAGTCACCTGGAGGAAACGAGACCAGTAGGGAATAACAGCAACAATGAATGAAAAAGTAATGAATAAGCTGCTAGAGTTGCACTTGTTTTCTCTCTTTTTGAAATCTCCCCAGCCATAGTAGCAAATGTAGAACTCAAAACTTCTCAAGGCTTGCACCTGAGTACACAAAAGGATCAAAATGTTATATATGGGCAAAGAGAAAATTGATAAGGAATTATAATCCATGTTTAGTTGTTTTAATATGGTAACAAACCTGGCTGGTAAATTGGTCTGCCAAGAAGAAATCCGGGAGTGTGACCTGAGATACATGAGAAATAACAAGTGTTGGACTACCCAAGAGAATCAGGAAAATGCAAAGACCTTGGTATTTGCAAGGAGACTACTATACCTTGTAAAGAGGAGCACATATACAGTGAAACAGGCATATGAGGAAGAAAACCCTGCTTGAGCGATAAAAGATGTTTAAGGGGCAGAATAAAATAGCACTCACAATCTGCAGAGTAATACACAGTGAATTTGTTATGTAAATATATTTAAAAAAAAAGGAGAAAAAAATTGTGTTTTTAATTCCTATACTTTCAATTAAACGTGATCAAGCTCATTATATTTTCTTACCGAAGAATTTGATACTCAAATTTAAAAAAATATATGGATTTAGTTCTTAACTTTTGTTGTTTTTTAAAGTTTAAAGACTAACTTCATTGATATAAAAGTAAATGGACCTTGACCACGTTTACCTAGAAGTATAAGGATTAAAAAGTAAACACACATTATTCCCCCAAATAGAAGAAAAAGTTTAAATTGTTTCAAACAATCTCCATACAAGAAGCAAGATGAGTGGAATAAGTTCAGTCAGTGTCTTGTAATCCTCTGTCTCTGGATCTATTTGCATGTCTAGGTTTGCAAGCACACCAGCTAGTGCCAACACTGCTAGGCCAAAACCAAGGAGAAGCACTTGATTGTGACCCAAATCAGTGCCTTGTTTAAAGCCAAATATGAATGAGTGATTCACTCTGTACCTCCTCCAGAAGTATATATTTGCTGCATACATCAGCATGTGTAGAACTACGAATCCATACAGACTGCAATAAATAAAGTTTTACATAATGTTTCATGTGGATTAATATCTGCATTGTGTTGATTTTAGTTGGTACAAGAAATGAAAAACTCTTGTTGATTGGAAAAATTACCTGTGTAGTGGGAACAAGGTATCCATGTACTTAGTACTCCCTTCGTGATCCAATATGCGACGGGTGCGAATGATTAGAATAAGGGCTAACACTAGAGCTGCAGTGCATCCTGCTAAGAAACCTGAGAATTTATCGACAGTGTCATGAGAAAGATGAATTCAGAATCAAAATTTGTCCTCTCTTTCAACCCAAAAATAATGGTTTGAATTATACAACAATATCTTGGTGCTTACCCATGGAAAATGTAACTCTATGTCTTTCTCTCTTTGCTTTTGGTCTTAAGATGCCCATGGCTTTATTACGATTTGAGTTGTAAAAGTGTTTAGTGAATGTTTTTTCAACCCTATCCATAAGCTTTGTGACCTGCCATGGGAAGTGTCAAGTAAGTGTAAGTCGTTGCCAAAAAACATAAATAGTGTTTTTTTAATGAATGATTTTAATTCATTGACAAAGTAACATGAATAGATTAATTAGTACATGCACTAACACTCTGACAGCGTAAAATGATGTTACACTAAACATCCAATCGCAAACTGTCATGTATGGATTAATAACAATGTATAAAAATTAAAATTAGCACTCTTACCTCATCAGAGCTTCCAAGGGGGGAGTCGTCCACCATTTTCATGTAAGCTTTAGCTGCATTTCTTGACGTGATCTGCATCATGAAGTTACCATATGAAGTGATAGAAGAGACAAAATTGTATGTCCAAAATTTTAAATGAGAAAAATGAAGTGAAGGGTAATTGAATTTGCACCTTATCATATTTCTTCATTATCTTTGAAAATGCCAAGGTATTTAGAAAGCTGTTAATTTCATGAAAATGATTAGATAATCTCTTGGTGGGAGAAACATGTAGTAACTGAATACACTGGATTCTTTTCTTACTAGAATTACCTATAGCTTTTTAGAAGGCGAAGCTTGCGGTAGAATTCAATGAATGTCCTTTTAAGTTGTTCCTCAACTTTGTTGAGATTTTTTCTGCTGAATTTGAGTTCTGTATTGGCAGGGAAATTGAGAACACCTTTTATAGTTGAACGTGGAGTTTCATAGGTGTGGTTTAGTTGCACGTGATCAAGTACTTCCAAAGGAGCTGGTCTAGTACCCCTTATATTCGTTGCCTTCTTTACCTCAATTTTTTGTTTTGTATTTTGTTTTACATGGTCTTGATCATCATTAGAATCATCTGATTGTTCATGATGGGTGCTTCCCTCTTCGATCACTTCCATCACCATGGAAACCTTTCCTGTATATGAAGCATATAGCAATTAAACTTGTACACTTTTCTTATGTTTAATACACACTAAATAAAGATTACTGTTGAAGCATTGATATTCGCATAGTATGTTTAAAGTTTTAAGTTCGACACATTAGATGAGTTGTAATATCTATCTTAAAAAGTAGTTTAATAATGAGTTTAGACATGAAAACGTATTACTATATTTTATTTCTTTAGCAATATTTACCTACTTAAATTTATTAAAATGTTATTACAAATAAAGTAATATAAAGAGTGTATCTTTTGAATTGCTAATTGTTTCCCAAAATTAAAATTTCACATCGAGTAAATAAATGATATATAAAAAGTATATATTTATACATAAAATAAATGAACTTTGATATTTAATGTAGAATTGATTGTAATTAATTAAGAATGTCTTCTACTTTAAAAAATTAGTAGGAGACTTGAATCATAAAGTATAAGTGATAGTAACATTTTATATTAAAATTAATTATTTTATAAAATTAACTAAAACAACTTAGCAACATTATTGTTACAAAAATATCACTTTGATAATATTTGAAAAACATTATCTAATTATATAAAAATATTATTAAAAGACTTTAACAATATGAACTATACACAATATTTAATAATATGTTGTAAAAATTAATTAACAATATTTATATACAATTATGTAACATTTTTTTCATGTTGTGAAAATCTTTTTTGGTATAGTGAAGTAAAAAGGATGCAAACACATAATTATCTCTTTCATTAACGATCTTATTGTTAGCATAATTTTACTTGATTTTTCAAATAATACTTATAAGTGTTAAGAAAAGTTATATTGAATTAGAAAATAGTTTATGAATACCGTTGTGAAAACTAAAGTTGACTAAACGAAAAAAGTTGTGAAAATTAAGTCAGTTAAATGATCAAATTGATGAAGAAAGTCAAATAAACAAATGGCTTGTATCTTCGTCAATAAATGGTGACAAAAGAATAAGGAGTCTTGTAGAAAAATGAAACTGTTTCAATAATAATTAGACATAGAAAGATTAAGAAGATGAAAAATATTTGTAGGTCAATTAGCTGCTTAATTGTAAATAACTTTCAAGTAATGTGTCAGGTTTATGAGGAGAAAAGAGAGGTTAATTAAGATTAATTAAGTAACAACATGAAGGAATACATAAGAAAAATGGACATAATAAACAACTTAAAAGAATAATAAAAGAAGAAATATTCAACCAAAATGTCATATTATTAATAATAATATTTAATTAGAATATACACTCACCGTGTAGAAGTTTTTAATTTACATAATCAGCTAATTGTAGATTGTCATATAGAGCGATAAGATTAAAGTTATATATTGGAAATTTCAATTAACAAGTTATGTATGCACCGTTAATGTGAAAAAAATAAAAAATAAAATCATACAGTTAACTGATTAGAAATTATGATAGATATAAATGATTTTTAATGTAATTTTGTTTGATTCAAAGAAACTAAAGAGAGAGAAGGAATTAAAAATTTGATTTGATTATGAGAGAAGGGGAGAAGAAAGTTTTTTTTATTTATTTAGTTCATAAAGGTAAGACAAAGATTTTAAGAATTAATTTATTTTTATAATTTTAAATTTAAGAGCATAAATAAATATATTTTGAATATTATACTAAAAATGTTTAAAAATTTATTTCCTCCCTCTAATTTATCCCAATATTAGAGGGAGCTAAAATTAGGTGAAATTTTTTTGCTTCCTTCTCCTCCCCTCCCCTCCACTCTCTTCCTTTCTTACAAGTTAAACTAAACAATAAAAGTTTATAATATGTAAAAAGTGTAATAAATTTACAATAAATATAATTTATAATTAAATGATAATACAAAACTTATTTACATAGTCATTGCATGAACAATTTACTTTTTATAATTGAATAATATTTTTTTAAGTGTATAAAAATTAAATTATTATTTATATGGCAAAGACGTAAATTGACGAGATAGTATATCTCAACTTTTATGTATTATGGATTTTTTTTATCAGTTTTTATATATTATGGATAATTTTGCAAAACTATAGTAACTCGATTATTAGGTTACTTCCACTGTCACCGCGTAACATATTTTTAAATGTTATAATTTCTTTTAATTATAGATTTATTTTCTTTTTATTTTCATTCCTCTCGTTTATATTTTTCAAATTTTCAGCTTTTATTGCCTAATAATTTCTTAAAAATTTTCAATGACTATTAGATTACATTTTTAACATCTCTGAAAATTATTTCATGTATTAATAAATTATTTTTTAATCTTAATCTTTCAAATTCTAATAATAACGGTTGATGTTTCAATAAATTTTGTCAAATCAGTTGCTAAAGCTGACGCGAATGCCACATATTATAGAGAAGAAAAAAAAAATAACTCTCATAAAGGGTGCATGTATCTTGAGAAGGAAGAGAAAGATTAGAAGAAAATAACTATAAATAAAAAATGTGAATAATTAGAAAGAAAAAGAAAAAAGAATATAAAATGAACGTATAAAGTGGTTATGAAATTTAAATTATATAGTAAGATTACTTGTTTACAAACTTTTCTCCACCCCTCACCTTTCTAATGAATCATTCTTTGACATTTTTTATTTAATTTTATGTATATTTGTTGTTGAGTGTTGACAGTCTACTTTTATTTATTTATACTATGACTTTTTTATTTGTTGAATTTATAAGTTATAAAAAAAATACTTTTCAATGTTATTACAAAAAAATAAAATTATTATACGTTAATTTCGAGGGTCTTGATTATTCTTCATAAGATTAAAAATATTAATTAGATTGATATTTTATTCTAGGAACTAAACTTTTTAATCAAACACCACTTAAACGCATTTTGACTAAAGTTTCTTCAAATAAAATAAACAAATGTGAACATATATTAAAAAATTTAATCTATCAAAATAAAATAAAATAAACCGCAATCATTGATAATGATGTATGATTTAAAGAACACCTGCAACAACGTGTCTGATAATTACTGTTTAATGCAAAGTTAAACGAACCAACTAGGTTAACAACAGCGTATGTTATTAAAACTGCCACAAGATAAGTGATGACCAACATCTTAACAAGCACATCCACACGTAATTAAACTCAAATAATTTAATTAGAATGAGTTGAAACGTTAAATTTTTTTATCCAGCAAATCAATTCAGCATTTATCATGAATGACAAGAGTATTTTTTCTTCTTCTAATTAATAATTACATTTAAGATATTTTTTGATTTGTTAATGGTATAAAAAATTACATTTATATTATATCAACATTAGATTCATTAATAGTATCGATTTTTCAATAATGACGTTAAAAAATTATGTTGATGATGAGTTTTAGTTAATTTATATGAACTAATTAATTTCTCATCAAATATGTGAATTCTCATCCAACATGATCTGGTTTGACTTCTATGAAAAACAAATTATTCAAAGAAAAAAAAATAGTGGATCATGTTTTGTGATGTAAATTATTTTTTCTTTTGTGTTTTTGGTAGTTGGAGAAACGTACAAACAAAAAGACAAAGAAAAACAAACAATAATATGTGTTTTTCAATAAGCTAAAGGTATTTTTGTGATAAAAATCAGTTAATGATAAAATTGATAAATCTTTGTAAGATTTAAGGTTTGTTTGGATCTTTTTTTTTTAAAAAAATATTTATAGAGACAAAAATCTAAATATAATTAAATTTTTTATAAGTTAAAGCTAGTTTATAATTTATGTAAGTTAAAAATAAAATTTTGGAGAAACTAATATAAGAGTTAATCACCTACACTGTTAGTGTAAATTTTTTTTACACTGACAACCAATTATATCTTTTAATTGTGATATGTCATTGTTAAAAGTAAATGTGTTTATAGTGACATGATACAATTAAAAGATATAATTGGTTGTCAGTGTAAAAAAATTTTACCCTGACAGTGTATAGGTGATTAACTCCTAATATAATAAAGTTTTGCAAATTAATTTATGTGTAAGATTATGAAAAATCTTATTTCATTCGTTCCTTCTATTTTTCTCTTTTAAAATTATCTTAAATAAAATTTATTCAAACAAATACCAAAAAAAATATTTAAAATTTATTCAAAATTATGAGATTATTAAATAGAATACACTAAATTTTATAATTTTCAATAAATTTTCAAAAAATATATTCTAAAAAAATGTGTTCCCTAGCATATTAAAATAAAAAATAATGTTACACATATTATGAGGAGAGATATTATTAATTATCACAAAAATGACAAAAATGATGTAATAATTATTAGAGCTAAAAATATAGAAGCAAAATGGTGTGAGAAAGAATTATTACTGTTGAATCTGGCTTCTTTGGGCGTGGAAGCTTGCAACACCGCGGAGGAAGAAGCAACATGGGAAGCAAGACGAGTCATCTCCAGAGAGCGATCAAAGGAGGAAGTGGGGTTCTCAACTTTGATCCTGAAAGCAATGAAGGCATCCATTTGCTTGTTCAACATCTCCGCTTCCTTCATGGCCTCCTCCACTTTAGCCCTAAAGAACCTGTCCACCTTGTTGAACTCATCGTCCAGCCTCCTGAAGAACACCAGCTCGTACTCCCCTCCCTCCTCGCCGCTCATCAGGAACGTCGTCTCGTACCCGTCCGACCCGCCGCGCCCCACCGTGATGGCTTGTTGGCTCTCCACGTCATCGTTTTGGTGCTGGGACATCATTTCCTGTTGAGATACAAACATGTCTCGCATCGATAAAATAAGACATGAAATAATAATTTATAAAAATACAAACATACTCTAATGAATGAGAAGCCTTTTAGGTGATCAGCAAAAACAAAACCGTGAAGGCTTAGACCTCATCATTTAAATAACATTATATATTCTGAAACAAATATCATAAAATAACACCATCCATGAGTACCATGGGACTGAGAGGGTGGTAGTGTTTTGTTTGTTGCGTGGTGAGGCCGCTGAAGGCTCTGTAGAGTGTTAGCTTTCGCCTTAGCGATGTTGTTGGAGTGGGTGGTGTGGGCTTCTTCTTTCGCTTGAAGCGTTGGATTTCCTTTAGCTCGTTTTTAAGCTTGTTGTAGTCCATGTAGGCCTCTTCCCATTCGGGCACCATTTGGGACGTGTATTCTTTTCCGAACTTCATCTTTTTGGGTTCTTGGGGAGGTGAAGGTGAAGGTGATGATGGGTGTTGTGTTGTGTTGTATGGTGTTTAAGAAGTTTGATGGAGTTGGTATGGTGGGGAAGGAAGAGTAGTACTGTTTCGGCGCTTGTGTTTAATTAAGGTTGAGAAGGGCTAGAAAGGTAGGTAGACAACGCAGCTCCTGCAGGGAAATTAAAGTTGGGGCTTCGTGGCTTGTTTTGGTGATGCAATGGAAAGGAAAAACAAGTTGGTTTTGATTTTTTCTGTGGGGGTGAAGAAGGAGAAAGATGAAAAGGACTCTTTTTATGGTTGGGTCTTACGTTGGAAAACTTTGTCTCACTTCATTGTATGGATGTACGTGTTCAAAGAACGAGAGTCACCATACATATTTTTTCTTTTTTCCTATAAACATGGTTTTTTTTTTCTTTAGGTAGTTTTTCAAAATTGACAACTAAAAATTAATATATACTTATTTGACATAATTTTTATTGATCAAATATTATTTTAATAGAAAAATAATGTTTACACGTGATTTTACTACATCAATTCTTATATTATTATTATTATTGTTATTATTATTAATTAATTAATGAAAGGGACACTTTCTGCCTCCGATATTAAAAATAAGAATTATTTTTACTCAATTAACTTAAAGAGTAAGATAGTTAAATAAATTAGTTAATAGAATAAAAAGGTCAAAAAAATGTGGACACCAAATCAGGGTATTCCCTTTTGTAACATTGTCTTCTTTTAACATGTTTGATTAATTATATGATTAGTTGGTTGATTAAGTATTAATAGTTGTAGTTGTTGTTGTTTTAAAACTCTAGGGAGTTTAGGGAGATCTTAAGGGTTAAGTTGTCTATAAGATAGTTTTAGACTGAGTTAAGTTATTGGTTTAATATAAGGAAGGGTATTTAATATTTTTTTAAGACGTGAGTTGCATAAGTTTATGCTTTAAGAAAAACTAGAGAGAAGTTAGAAAGAAGTTCTTTGAAGCCAAACTTTTTCTTCTTCCTCTTTTTCCTATTGAGACTTGTTTTCAATCCTTCCCTACAATTGATCCGAGGTGTCTAACTATGAAATTGAAGCTTGTGGAGTAGAAGATCTCAAGTCAAAGGTTGTGCGAAGTTCTTTTCTTCTTCTTCTCCTCTTCTCAGTTGAATCAACTATAAGTAAGAGAAGTTTTTGCTATTGATATTCATCAAGGATGGTTGTTTTGAATTGAATTCCATGAGAATGTGGTTGCTTGAGTTTTTGGTTTCTTGGAAGTGGTTGTAAAATGGATTGAGTCCCTAATTTAAGCCACACCCAACGCCATGAAAGCATACTTAATTAGCGTGATGGTGATTTCCTTACATAGTAGAATCACAATATTGCTCAATCTACTTGAAATTTAGAAAAAATCAAGCATATCTAACACCATATTCAAGCAACTCAAATTCAACTAGAATTACAACATACAATATCATATTCTCAAAATCACCATGTTCTCTTCTTTGAAAAACAAAGAACCCAAAGGTTTAACAACCAACTTCAAAATCATGCAATTCAGCAACACAATTGCAATCATTCAATAACCATTTCATGCATCACAACCCAACAATCAACAACAACTAGATTATAGTTCCCCTTACCTCTAGATCGAAGAGAAACAAGACAAAAGGAAGAAGAAATCGGTTCCAAGCTAGCTTTGGGAAGCTCCAAACCACACCTCACCCAATACGACTCTTAGCTTCAACAACTTTGAATCGTCGACCAGCTACTCAACTATGAACTTCTACGTACAACTATTGAGAATCTAGAAAGAAGATTAGAAATCTAGAGTTCTCTCTAGTCTCTCTCTCTCTCTAAGGTTTCTTAAGGAATTAATTCATAAAAAACTCAAATATTAAAAGAAATCTTGTATACATTTTTCTCTAGGTTAAACTGAACCTCTTTTCAAAGAAACTCCTACACATTTAAAACTCACAAGAATCCTTTAATCCTAAGAGTTTTTCAACAAACAACTCTAAAATCACCACAATATAATTATTGATAAAATCACATCCAATTAATGATTAATTTAATTATGTAGAGTGAATTGAAATATATATATATATATATATATATATATATATAGTATTCAAATTAAAAATAAATTTAATTTTTAGTGAGCATAAATTAATTTAATATTAATGGTATTGAATTTTTTCTTGAATTTAATGTATTAAAAGATATAACAACAAAATAATATAATGTCTTATTAGAAGTATTAAATTATATTAAAAATTAAAATTTTAATAACTCAAAATTTTTAGACACGGACTAGTACGTTCCACCTAAAAAAAGTATTCCGATGAAATGACTTAAAAAAATATAAAAACTTATGCTATTTTAAATTTATGGTTTGACTTTTATTTGTTTACACAGAATAAAATAAGAATTGTTGACCGTGGTGAATATCATGGATAAGTTTGATATTGGTGTTGGCTTGTTATTTGAAGCGAAATAACAAAATTTGGATGTGAAAAGGAAAATATGTTGCATTCATGCAGGAAAAGGAAAAGTAAAATGTAAAAAGTCAAGTGCGCGAGGTACGAATGTACGATCTTAGAATGTTTCTTCCGACTCCTTTTTTTCTTCGGCTCATCATTGTCCAGTTGAAACTGGAATCCATACTTTTAAAACAAGATTCCGTTATAAAATCGAATAGGGTTGAAACTTGAAACATCATCATCCATACTTTTAAAAGATGTATCTGATATCAAATCCATTATTGTACAAGTAAGTAATAAGAAAATTTGATGAGTAATTAATGGATCACATAATTTGATTTCTATTATTTTTTAAAAAAAAATATCTATTTTATATATTTTTTATAATTATAAATTTATATTGTATTTTAAATTTTAAATTATCGTTTTATTTAAAATAATTTTTATTTTTATTTTATATTAAAAAATACATGAAAAATGTATGTTTAATTATTTTTAAGACCACTCGAAAATCATGAAACTCGAAAGTTACATTTAGGAAGCCACTCGAAAGAAGGAATAAAGGATAACACCTATCAAGAGCCTTATTTGTTTGTATTTGAGACATGGTCGAATAGAAACTGGTCAAATAACTCGAAAAATGGATGAAGGAGGTTATTGGAGGTTTTCAAGCAGTTTGAGTAGTTATCTCAGAGCAGTTGATGAAAAATAATTCGAAGAGATAAAAACACGTGAGACGAACGGTTACGAGAAATTATATTTTAAACCCATGTAAAGGACATAGTGGATGACAGTTATGCACCCATGATGGAGTTACGTAGGAGTAACCACCCTCGAGGAGAACCATACTTGAAACTCTCAAGCACTCACTGCCTGCGCATATGGCTTCCGTGCATGGAATTGTTTCTGGGTATAACCATTTCTCGACCACATTTCTTTTCTCTTTTTAGGATTACAATTAGTGTAGTTTTCTTTTCTCCTTTTAATCACGTAGTTCTAGATTGTTTTACTTTAATATTGTAATGCTTGAACATTATGCAAAGTGAACCTGTTAGGATATTAGCCCGTAAATAAAATCCCGGTTTATTTGGGATTCTTAATTTTAGAATAGGCTTTACTGTTTTGTGAGATATAGTTGCAGTAGACCCCTTATTTATCGTTGTTTCTGTTTGCTCTGTATGGCTATTTATAGCCTGGATATTTTTCATTCAATAACAAGTATTCCTTCTGCAATTTCTTCTTTATTAAAACACTTCACTGTTACTTTATCATTTGGTATCAGCGCCTCGCAAGAGGTTCTGTAGAAGCAACAGTCTTCTAAACGTCTTTTAGGTAATGAAAATGGCAACAGAGGGTGCCTTTATTCAACCAGCAGTGCCAAGGTTCGATGGTCACTATGATCATTGGGCAATGCTTATGGAAAATTTTCTGCGATCAAAGGAGTACTGGGGTGTGGTGGAAAATGGAGTTTCTCTCGTAGCAGAAGGTGTCACTCAAACTGAGGCACAAAAGAAAATTTGTGAAGAGCAGAAATTGAAGGATCTCAAAGCCAAGAACTATTTGTTTCAGGCTTTAGATCGTTCTATTTTGGAGACAATCATTAATAAAGATACGTCAAAGAGTATTTGGGACTCTATGAAGAAGAAATATCAAGGAACAACGCGAGTAAAGCGTGCAAATCTACAAGCTTTGCGAAAGGAGTATGAAATTGCTCACATGAAGGAAGGAGAATCTGTGAATGAATACATTGCTCGTATTCTTGTTATCACCAACAAGATGAAAGCAAATGGTGAAGATTTGAAAGATTTTGCTATTGTGGAAAAGATTTTAAGGTCCATGACACCAAAATTTAATTATGTTGTGTGCTCAATTGAAGAATCCAAAGATACAAGTATGCTATCACTTGATGAGCTACAAAGCAGTTTGCTCGTGCATGAACAACGCATGAGTAACACTGTCCATGAAGAACAGGCTCTAAAGGTGACTCATGGAAACCAATATGCTGGACGAGGAAGAGGGCGTGGAGGCTTTGGAGGTAGGGGTCGTGGAAGAAATGGACAAAACTTTAACAAAGCAACGGTGGAATCTTTTGCTTGCCACAAGCTTGGTCATTTTCAATGGGAATGCAATAAAGGAGTGGCAAATTTTGCAGAAAGTCAAGTGGAGAGTGAAGAACACATGTTGCTGATGGCTTATGTTGAAGAAATTGAGCAACATAAGACAGACATGTGGTTTCTTGACTCTGGGTGCAGTAATCACATGTGTGGAAAAAGGGAATATTTTTCTGATCTTGATGAAAATTTCACAGACTTGGTGAAGTTGGGAAACAATTCAAATATAGTGGTCAATGGGAAGGGTAACATTAGGCTGAAAATTGATGGAATTATTAGCATCATTTCAGGGGTCTTTTATGTTCTAGAATTAAAGAATAATCTGCTGAGTTTGGGACAATTGCAAGAGAAGGGGTTGAGTATTTTGTTTCAACAAGGGCATTGCAAAATATACCATCCTGATAAAGGGTTGATCATGAAAGCTAATATGTTTGCAAATCGAATGTTTATCTTGCATTCCATCTCTTTGCCTATATCATCCACTTGTTTCAAAATAGCCACGGAAGACGTGGCACACTTGTGGCATTGCAGGTTTGGGCATTTAAGCTTCAAAGGCTTACAAACTTTGCAGCAAAAAGAAATGGTGAAAGGTTTACCATTATTAAAGTCTCCCTCAAAGTTGTGTAAGGATTGTATTGCGGGCAAACAGCATCGAGACTCTTTTCC